CCCCGAACCAGAGAGGAAACCCGGGGAGCGGAAAGGCTCATTTCCCCGAGCGCAGGCAGCGACCGGCATGGGTGGCCCCGGAGGGTGGCCCTGGAGGGTGGCCTGTTGAAGGCGGGGCTGAAAGTCCCCCCTGATGGCCTCATGCCTCAGGGTGGCCTCCTCTGGGCTGAAGGACTTGCGCCTGGACCAGGTGCTCTATACCTGGGTGGATTCTAGACAGTTGGGAGAAGGTGGAATGAGCGTGGCCTGTCTGTAAGGGAAGACGACGCACTCACAGCCACCGGGGCTCCTCTCGTGTGAAAACCTCTCAAATGCCAGCAAGTCCCCGGTGGAGGCTCCAGGCCATGGGGATGGACGCCGGGCAGACATGCCTCTCCCCTCATCCACAGACGTGAACCTCCCAAAGCCATGGGCCGCTGTCACCAAATGAGAAGAGGCCCCTGGGTGGCTTCCGGCGGGGCAGGTGCTGCCGGCCCCTCCCAACTCCTGTCCCTCTGGGCCTGTGCCTGGTGGAACCCAGGGGCTTCCTGACTCTGCTAAGAAGGCAGAAGGCACGAGGGAGACACTGAGGCAGGAGGCCCCGGGCGGGGATGTCGGTAACATCAGGCAGAATTCTCACAGTTTAGAAACCAGGAGGATGAGTAACTCTTCCCAAACCATCTCCCCATCAGGTCTCCCTCCACCCCAGAGGGGCTGCGACCTTGCAGCTCACTTATCCCCAACACATCATCACCTGGGGGTGGCACAGGCCCCCATTCCCCTTAGCCAGCACCTTGCTCTCCTGATCCTGCCCTCCCCCGCCCCCCGCCCCCGGCTGTGTGCTCTGGAGCGCCAGCCCCACATCAGATCAAAGGCCCCGGAGAATTGGGGTTGGAACTGTCCAGTCCAGTTAGGAGTGAAGGCCCGGCGGATCGAGGTGCAGGGCCACGGAGGCAGCAAGCAGAAGGGGCCTCCCACGCACGCACAGACACACGCTCCTGCCCACCCCAGGCACACCCTCCCCCCGGGGCTCCAGCCCCAGTGTTTTGATGCCCAGCAAGACACACCCCAGGAAGGAATGGCCGACACCCCCCTTGGAGCCAGGCGGCGGCACCCAGCTGCACGCTTAGCACATCCCCTGTCCCCCCCCCACGAGACGCCAGCATGCTCCTTCTGTCACTCCCCGTGGAGGCCAGGCCTCCAGAGCCTTCCTGGAGGGCTGACCGGGCCCATATGGCTGGGAATCTGTTGCCAGCGTGGGCCAGTGCGCGCTGGGGCCCCCGCAGCTGGCTGACAGCTTCCTGCTCACTCCAGCCAGGCCTCTGGCTTGGTGTTTGGGCTGTGCCATGCCTGCCCAGGGGGGCTGGGGACCACTTCACTGTCACAGCATGGCTCCTGGGATGGCCTGCCCCGTCCTGGCCCACGCCCACGACACCAGGACCCAGGAGAGTGGAGCCTCCGCTCAGAGACCCTGGAAGAAGGGACAGTGGCCAGGTCATTTCTGATGGGACGCCTATGGCCGTTCAAACCGTGAACTGCGCAAAGACTTTCCACGTGGAAAGACTGCTAGGGTCTCGGCCCATGAGCTGAGGCTGGAGGCTCCGCTGGCCCCGTGGGAATGAGGAGGCCTTACTTAGACAAGCCCACGGCTCGGCTCTGCGTCCTGGCGCACGGGAGAAAGACCCGCAGAAGCTCAGCCCGTGAGAACACAGGTCACACCTGAAGCCACAGTGAGAGGAACTGTATGAGCGTCTAGGCCAGTGATGGCGAACCTATGACACGCGTGTCAGAGGTGACCCGCGAACTCATTTTTTTGGTTGATGTTTCTTTGTTAAATGGCATTTAAATATATAAAATAAATATCAAAAATATAAGTCTTTGTTTTACTATGGTTGCAGATATCAAAAAATTTCTATATGTGACACGGCACCAGAGTTAATTTAGGATTTTTCAAAATGCTGACACGCCGAGCTCAAAAGGTTCACCATCACTGGTCTAGGCCCAGCCTCAGGCCCCGCACAGAACCCGTGGAGCAAAGGCACAAAACAGCTTCGGGGCAGGGTCTCGGGGCTGAGGGGACAGTGAGCTTGGAAATCGCTGCTGGAAACGGTGCTGGAGACAGGCAGGCCTCTGGCCTTCCCTCCGCGTGGTGCTGGCCAAGAGACGACGACCCCACTCAAACCAGCTTTCTCAGCAGCCAGGACGGTGCATCTCCCCCTAAACCACGAGACTCTGAAAGCCACGGGTCCCTCGGCACTGTCAGGCCTGGGAGGCTGGCGTCACCCTGGGGTCTTTGCGGCCCACGGCAGGCCTGGGACCTCTCCCTCCGAACATGCGGACTTTGCCCCTGCTCTCCATTTCCGCCTCCGTGTCTCAGTCACAGTCTCCCACTCCAGTGGCCACGGCAGCCTCCCCTCTGGCCGCCTCGTTCTCCCCTTGCCAACCTCCGGCCCAGCCATCTTTTAAAGACGAAAATCAGATCACTTTCCCTCCCTCCGGCAGCTTTCCGTCACCCAAAGAGTAAAATCCCCAAACCCCCAGCGCACCGAAGCCCCGTGTACCCCGGCCCCCACCCTGTCCACACCCAGGCACTGGAACCTTCCTTCTGCTCAACACACACCCCGAGCGCAGCCCACCGCAGGGCCTCCGGGCCGGCTGCGCTCTCTTTGGGGAATATTCTTCCACGTGCCCTTCAGGTGGCTGTCCACTGCCTATCCATCAATTCCAGCGGTCACCTGCCCGGTCACCCCCACCACCTTATCCCATGTCCATTCTGCACTAATGGCTTCCTTAGTCTTTTGTGGGTTTGCTTATTGTCCGCCTGCCCAACTGGAACTCCACGTGACCCAGGGCTGTCTTATCCACTCTGTCCCCAGTACCTGGCAGACCCCGGCCCCTGTAACTGGAGACTAGAGATGACCAGTCCTTCTGTGGTGTGGCCAGAAGTGGGGAGAATCCTACCTAGGCGGGATCAGGCCTGTGGGCCAGGCCCAAGCACGGCCTCACCCCCTCGCCCACAGTCCAGTGTCGTGAAGGGTGACCCCGGGTCACCCTTGCCACAGAGGCCCCTGTGCCTGGAAGGGGCTGGACGAGCGAGGCAGGGCTTGGTCAGGACGGTCCCTTTCAGAGCCCTTGGAGTTGCCAAGCTTCAACAGCAGCCCAAGCCCGCCGATCCAGGAGGCAGGGGTTCCGCCGGACGCATGGAGCCCATACCCCATGCTGGGTGCAAATCCCAGCTGGCATGGCCCCTGGGAGTCAGCACTGAGTGGAAACTTCAGGAAGGAAAAAAACAAATGGGCATGATTTGCTGAAGAAACAAAGAAAACAGAAGGCCTGCCACTGAGAACAGCACAGGCAAAGGTGCTCCCTCGACGGGGTTACCACAGCACTTGGGCAACCTGTGATGTCAGGGCGCAAGGGAGTACATCCAGAGGCTCGAAGGCATGGCCAGCCGGCCCAGGACCCATGCTCACCGGGGAGGCAGAGTCGGGCAAGAGCCCAGGAAGGTAGAGATGGCAGGTGCTGGTGCCGAAACCCAGCAAGATGGCAGCCAAGAGTCTCCACAGCCCCCTCCCCGCCATCAGGGACCACGGCGGCACGGCCCAAGAGTGAACAGACCAGTCCTGGAGTGTGACTGCGTGCCGGACGCCAGGACCAACAGCCCCAGCACCATGGCTGCTCCAAAGGCCACATTTACATCTGATTTGCAAATCCCTGGGCTGTAGCTAAGGCTGGCGACAGCCCCTGAGGTGGCATGGCCTGCCGCTCTGGGAACCTCTCAATCCCCTGTGGGCACCACGGCACCATCTCTGCAAGTACTTCCTCCCCGGAAGTTCAAAGTCCGGAGGTGCCGAGCCTGGCCTCGGAGGGAGGGGCAGGACACGCCTGCCTGCAGCGCCCCTGGGGAGGGAGCACGCAGGAGGGGGACCAGGGCTGCTGACCCCCATCTGGCACACACCAGAGGGCGGCCCCCAGCCTTGCCCTCCCAGCCATTCTCCAGGCCCTCAGCCCCACCCCCTTACCCTAAGACCTTGCCCATCACCTTTACTGAAGCCCAACCCTTCTAGGCTGGTTCCCTCAGGATCATAGGAGAACACTGAATAATGATCAATATGTGAAAAGTAACCAATCATGTGTCAACCCCCACCCCTCCTGAAAACCACATGTGATACCTGAGGGTAAACATCGGACAGTATCAGCCCCTGGACTACCCATCCCTGGCACACATGACCTTCCTCAGGCAAGGGGCGATTCCTGAGCCTGGATCAAAAGACACCTGTGGGCCCGGCTGGTGTGGCTCAGTGGTTGAGCGTCAACCTATGAACCAGGAGGTCACGGTTCAATTCCCAGTCAGGGCACATGCCCAGGTTGTGGGCTCCATCCCCAGTGTGGGGCGTGGAGGAGGCAGCCGATCCATGATTCACTCTCATCATTGATGTTTCTCTCTCTCTCTCCCTCTCCCTTCCTCTCTGAAGTCAATAAAATGTGTGGGGTTTTTTAAAAGACACCTGTGGCTTCTCCTCTAAGGCGGGTCCTGCCGGGCTGGAGGCCCACCTGGGAGAGCCCCGCCCAGCCGCACAGGAGCTCGGGGCGGAGCAGCAGCCTCTGGTTCTGCAGACAGGCTGGACCTACCGTCCTCAGAGATGCCGCTGAGACATGACCTGATGCTTAGCCCCAGGCAGGGCGTCTGCTAGAGCCCAGGCCCCCCTGGAACGCCTGCAGGCGGCTGGCACCATTCAGTGCCATCCAGGGGAATGCTGGCAGGACTCTTAAACCCCTTTCTTTTACGGGTGGGGAGCCGGGATCCAGAGGGGGAGAGGGCAGTGAGTGAACGGCCCAGCCGGGGCCGGGACACAGGTGCCCGAGGATTTTCTCAATCCTCCATTTCTCGCTCTCACCTAGGGTGCCGTCCGGGTCAGAGCCCACTGAGAAAGGCCTCGGCAGCCCCTCTTTGCACCCCCCCCCCCACCACAGCCCCTACCCACGTTTCCCAGTGGCGTCGGGGAATCAGGTGCAGCTACCTTTGCTTCCCAAGGGCCGGGGGTCCGAAGTCCATGCCAAAGCACACCCTGCAGCTGCGGGACCCCTTCTACGGGAGGGACAGCGAGGCCGCGGGGAGGTGGTGGGCTGCGCGGGAGTCCTTGCCTTCAGTCAGCGAGGTCTGTTTGCCTACAAAATGAGACGGGAAATGGAGGATTAGGCTGCAGCTGAGACCACCAAGCGACTCCAGGGAGCAGGGCCACGGAGAGTAAGGCCTGGCACCGTGCGCAAGGTAAGCGATTCTCGACCTGCCTGCCAATCAGCAGATGGCATTGCTGTGGCGAGTGCCATGCCTGACCCCACGACCAGTGCACCCGTGGCACAATTATGAGCCAATTGCTACACCGTGGTCACACCTAACAAAGAAATCGAACAGGTAGAAACCGTGATAGACCGTCAGGTGTCACCCCAGGTAACAATAAAGCAATCACACCCCAGGCCCGGCACCAGGGTGAAAGGTCAGTGTGACAGTGGATCAAGCCAACGCTGGAAACCAGGTCAGACCCAGACCCAGGCAACCGGACCGGCCCTCGGGCTCCCCAACCTCCCGCACCCTCCAGCCTGTCCCTCCGCCAGCTCCCAGCTGCTCCCAGGACCCCCGGTGGCCTATGGGAGTCTCTAAAAATGGAATCAACAGGTGTCCCTGCAGCTCCCGCGATGGAGTTTGGTTTCCTCTCTTTTCCTTTCCCCCTCTCCTCTGGGACTGCGCCCCTTCACACAGAGAAGAAAAGAGGGTGTGCGCACCCCCCCCCGCCCCCCCAGAGAGGGGGATGTTGAGATTCATTTGTTATAGGTGCTGGGCCAAAAAAAAAATGTGGCCAAAAAACGTTGATGCCCTGCTACCGGCAACCTTTGTATCAATTTAAGCAAATATTGTGGTGTTTCCATGGTGATTCCTGTTTTGAATATCCACTACACTCACTTTTTAAAGGGCTTTTCCTGTTTGCGTTTCAACTTCAAACCTGTAAATATTTTCGGCCTTTTTAGAAAACTTAGCCCACGTGTGTGCAAATAGACAGACGCTACTGACCTCGGCGCACAACCTCCCAGGCCTAGCGCGGCCCAGCCTCCTGGATGTGAGAGAGGGGGTACCGGGCGGGGGGGGGACCTCTGTCCACTCTCGCCCCCACCCTGCCTACAGGCTGGCATCAGGGAGGGAGGTGCTGAAATCCAGTCCTTTCCTCCCTGCCAGCCAGGGGATTGCGGCGCCTCGATGTTCCTGAAGTGAGTGGGCTTGGCCCTGACTCCACTGTGCGGCATGGTGTGGGCAGCTGCCCGGCAGGTTCTCCAACTTGGCCCAGCCCTTGGCTCCCCCAGGGCCTCCCCGGAGTACACGAACCCCTCCTCTGCTGCCTCCCAAGGTTGGGCCATGAGTGGACGGGGGAGTTGGCGCTTTGAAGGCCAGAGCTTCCAGCATGGGCTCTACCCCGCCTCTGCTCGGGGCAATGCCTGGGAGACCAGCTCCCTGGGGGAAGCCGCCGGAGGGCCAGCGACCCTGGGGACCCTGGGCCGGGGCTGGGCTGGCCGGCTCCCACCCCACCCTGCAGGCACACAGGGTTAACGGCGGGTTTCCTGGTTTCCATGGAATTCCGCCAGGCCCCTAATGTGAGTTTCGTGTGATTTGGGGGAAGTGGATTTCCTTTGTTTTCCAGTTTGGGAATATTTTTTTCTTTAAAAAAGAGGAAAAAACACTTTAATGGGAACTTCAGGGCCACTGGGAGACTCACTCCTCTGAGCTCTGACACTCCCTTGCTTGTTGGTCCAGATTCCCCAAAAGCCCTGGGCAGCCCCTCCACCCACCCAATACCTCTGCGTAGAGGCAGGGGTGGCTCAAACCACCTACAGCTCCCACCCCCAGAACTCTCTTCTGCTGGGGGCGCTCTACTCCAACATCATCAGAATGACCCCTGCCTCCCCCCCGGCCCCCCCACCCCCGAGAGCAGCATCTGCTACAGGCGGCCAACACTGCCCCCGGCCAGGCAGACACATTCCCCAGAGAAAGGGTCAGGAGAAACACTGCCCCCTCCCTGACCTTTGGCCAGGAGCTTGGGAGACCAGAGTCTGACCACCAGGAATGATGAGCATGAACCGTACCAGGGTCTTCTGTGCTGGCTCAGAAGGGGGTCCTAGTGATGGGGAAAGGGTGTTCCAGGCCCTTGCCTGGCCTCCTCCAGCCGACAGAGAGGCATGCCCCGGGCAGCAAGAGCAACTGAATAAAGGGTGTGGCCAGGCCGCCGCCTCCTCCTCCTCCTCCTCCTCAGTCTTCCCCATTCCTGCCATCCTTCAGCCCTGCCAGGGTGTGGCCAAGCTCAGGGACTGTCCCCTACCAAGTGGCCTGACCCATTTACCAAACCAGGGCACAGGCCCCGGGGTCTGCCATGGACGGGCCCCCCCACGCACAGGCCCTGGGGCTGTGGCAACAGCAGGATCCCGATCAGGAGGTGCAAGCCCAGAGCACGGAGCTCTCTGGCCAGCAGCTCAGGGGGAAGGTGTAAGAGCCATGCGCAGTGACAGAAATAGCACTGGGCCGCTGGGCCGAGAATCAGGAGCCATGGCTCTGAGTCCCAGTTCTGCCACTTAAGTCGCCCTGGGCTGCTGGACGAGCCATCTCGTCTCCCAGTGCCCTCAGTGGTCAAATGGAGGCAGCAGCTTCTTCCCTCCTACTGAGCGGGTGGGGGTGGGGGTGTCAATAATAAGAGATGTGAGCCCGGCCGGCATGGCTCAGTGGTTGAGTGTCAACCTATGAACCAGGAGGTCATGGGTTCGATTCTCAGTCAGGACACATGCCCGGGTTGCCGGCTCAATTCTCAGTTGGGGGGGGGGGGGGCATGCAGAAGGCAGCCGACCAATGATTCTCTCCCTTCCTCTCTGAAATCAATAAAAATATATTTAAACAACAACAAAACACAAGAGATGTGAAAGGCGTTAACAGTGCTCCATAAACATCCTGCCCTCTTCCTTCAGC